GGTTAGCATAGATGTGTCAAGAAGTATAAAAGGGGGAATAAAGCTCAAAGAAATAACCAGTTTGCATTTTATTTATTTATTTTTTAAGGAAGTGACTGTGTGTTTGTGTGCTTTGTTCACCTGAAACATCCAGTCCTGTGTCCCTTTGCTGGTTTCTTGTAGCCAGATGTTGTGTGAAGAGTCAGTGAGAGCCACAGCACACACTTTGTTCTTCACCTGCAGCTCCCTTTGATTTATCTGGCACAGAAAGCAAATTAAACTTGTGTTAGTTTCAGTTCAAACATGCTTAAAACCATGCACCTGTTTTGGAAGATACTGTTTTAGACAGTACATGTAAAAACTTGCTTTATAAAAAAAACACGCAAAAAAGTAAAATAAAATTAAATAAAATTACTTCAATATGGCAAACCACCACATCAGTAGACATTTACCTATAAAAATAATAATAAATATTCTTAGTAGCTACAGCATGCACTGTCAGCCCTCTTCTTAGACGTGGGATGGCAATAGCCCAGAGGACAGCTTTGTAACCGGAGAATACTGATTCAACCTGGTGTACAGCATAATTTTATAAAGTGAAATATGAAAGAGCAGAGTTCCACTATAGCGTGTCCTTGTCACGTTCTGTGCAAACGTCCTTTCCTGTGCACATTCAAATGCCTTGGTCCCCATTCTTAATACCCTTTCCCTTCAGATGTCACAAAGAATGTGGCGTTCACAAGCCTGTCTTCCTATTCCCCTCTGAATGTCAATGCTAAGGAAAATGTCACACAAAGGACTTGTTACCCCACTACAATAGACTTCCCACACCGCTGGTCCGACCCCAAGGAGTACTACAGCCAGGCCTATGGAACAAGCTGTTTCACTCTGCTTGGCTTTGAGATAAAAAAAGGGGGGGAAAGGAGAACAGGTCTAACAACAATAGGTTAGCAATCACTTACTGTATATGTTTAGTGAATCTCGGAAAAGAACTGGTGGACTACAGATGTTATAGTGATACAGAATAGCATGACTAAATGTTAAACAATTATTTTAATGATTTATCACAAAATAATAAATAAATTGCTAAAAGCTAATTGAAAACTTTCCTTGATGACTAGATGAATTAAAATGAAAATGAATAATGAAAAATCAGATCTATTAGGGTACTAAGGTCTTGAGCACCATTCAGGTGACAAAGGCTTCCACAATAGCATTTTCATCATTAAAAAATTTAAATCAAATAAAAAATGAAGACAAAAAATGAGCAGGAGTTAATTTGTAATATGAAACAAACAATGTCAACTACCTTTCATAACGATTTCCCTTCACAAAATCACTTCACATACAATAAATGACTATGTCTGAATGAATTTCTAATTTTTTTCACAAGAGAAAATTTAGTCCCTTGTTTTATTTATTGGTTTTTAAAGCAGCTGTTTTATGATTTTGCCTGGATGTGAAAGTGGTATTTAGCAGTCAACTGTGAACCAATTGTATGAAAAAGTTAAACAAAAAACTCACAAAGGTAAAAAAAAAAAAAAAAAACACAGCAAAGCTAATCAGAGGGAACTCACACTTGGGTCATTGCGGAGGAAGTAGAGTTGTTTGAGACTTGCTCATAATATCATTGGGAACATCAGTAATTGTATAGGCAATATCAGTCACTCAAGCAACAAAACATAAATACAGTCCCTTGTTATAATAAAAAGAACAAAAGAGAATGCCCTTTGCACTGCAGCCCTAAAGTGCTGTAATACAGTATAGACCCCCACTGGGTTCCATGTTTTACAAGCCAAAATGACAACTGTGATTAGCTGCATGTTAAATGCATAATCCATCTTGAAACATAACTTATAAAAAGTTAGAACCATTAAACCGCAAACTCCTGTGAATATAAATCTCAGTGGTCTTTTCATATAACTCAATGTGTTCGCATGTATGTCAGCGTTAGTCGTGTACCGTGTAGACAGAGGTTAAATGTGCTAATCCCTTCTGTAACTGTAGACAGCAGCCCTAACTAAAAAAAAAAAGCCAGCTGTTGTGGTCAGTCCTGTGCTGGACAGGGACAAAGGAGGGGAAGCATGTGGAAATACTTGTTAAACTAAAACCAACACACAGATGTTAATACATTTGCTGCCCTTCTCCTGACCTTTCATTTAAAGCTAGAGCAGCTGGATGTGCAGAGTAAAACTTGAGTGGGCAGTGGGGGTTCTAACAAGGAGAAAGGAACTGAAACTGAAAGAGGTATAAAGAGACACAAAGCAAAAATATGTTCAATATCTATAAAACAAATGCTGTATGGAGGTAAAAGAAAAGACAGTCAGATGTGCACAACAAACAACACTTAGAGATACTTCATTAAAATCCATGAGGCATATTCTCAAATCCCTTGGAACACTTTTAAAGTCCACAAAACTAACAATGGAGCAGCATGTGTAAAGCAAATGATCACTTACTATGTTTCTGAAACATCCATAGACGTTTAGGCCTTTATAAAACAAAAGCACTACATTATCAATGTTTAAACCTTACTACAGTCCTCAAGTTAAAGTATTTTATTGATACTGTTGTATTATATCGATTGTACTGAGAGCGCTGGGATGGAATGTGTAACAACAATCAATACTGTACTTAGTGTCATAGCCCAGCAAAAGTAAACCATAAAAGCAAAAAACAAATTAGTTCAGTGTTCACTGTTTTTGAGCTTGCTCTTTGCTGCAAATTTATTTTGACCTCAACACATCAAGTTTGCAAGCTACATGATGCAAAATCTGTGATGCAAAACCGCGAGCCAAACTTGAAATAACTCCCTTATCACAAACACCCAAACTTCAGACCAACTACGAAAACCTGTCTTCATCTTTTTCAAAGATTCTCCCCCTACGTACTCTCTAATAAATAATTTTGCTCTCACTGCACTGCAGAGAGACTAAAAGAGATTCACAACCATCATCAACAAAATGCAATAAACATAAACTTTTCTCCAACCCTTGTGTTTTGCACCTGACTGGTGCTAAGCAGTATTTAACGATACAGGCTGCTTCCAGCTGAAAGCTAGTTAATTGCTAGACTTTTTTTTTTTAACTTTTCACCACTGAATGCGATATGGGATGATTGTGTGCACATGAAGGAGGGAAGGGGGCAAATTAATCATGTTTATTTATCTAGATGAGGAGTTGAAATAAGCATCGAGACATCATTTAACAGCATGCTAAGCTAATCTCTGGTCGAGATAAATACTTCATTTCACTCCTCTCCCTGTGATGCTCCCTTGCTCACGACTGCTCCACTGACGCTTCATCTAAACACCGGCAATAATAAAGACAATTATTTAGGCCTTTGATAATTGTGTGTCAAAGACAGCAAAAGCCAGTAGATAATTGGGCAAAAACTGAATAGCAATCCACAATGGAGTACCCTGCAGGGAGACAGGCAGACTCATCCCTAGAAAGAGTGCAGACCAAGAGAAAAAAAGAAGAAAAAAAAGAGAAGAAAAAACCCAGGCAAAGACAGGAAGAGGAGAGCTCTTTAAGAGGCCTTGCTCACTGTCAGACTGTCACTATGAAAAGCCACAATTATACACAGAGAGCAAGTACAAATAAAGAGCAGCAAACAAGAGAAACAAATCTAAGCGAAAGAGAGAGAATGATGGAAATGATGGAAATGATGGAAAAAAAATGATGGAAAATGAGACAGGATAAAATGGAAAATCAGAGTGATAAGAATAGAAAACCGAGCAGAAGCCAATGAGAAGGACTGTGTGTGTGTGTGTGTGTGTGTGTGTGTGTGTGTGTGTGTGTGTGTGTGTGTGTGTGTGTGTGTGTGTGTG